CTACAGTGTGACACAGTGTGTTATATTATCTACAGTGTGACACAGTGTATTATATTATCTACAGTGTAATACAGTGTATTATTATGTAATTTACAGTGTCTCACAGTGTGTTATTATATAATCTACAGTGTGACACAGTGTGTTATTATATAATCTACAGTGTGACACAGTGTGTTATTATATAATCTACAGTGTGACACAGTGTGTTATTATATAATCTACAGTGTGACACAGTGTGTTATTATATAATCTACAATGTGACACAGTGTGTTATTGTATAATCTACAGTGTGACACAGTGTGTTATTGTATAATCTACAGTGTGCCACAGTGTGTTATTATATAATCTACAGTGTGCCACAGTGTGTTATTATATAATCTACTGAAAACTAACCGACTCCGCCACGCCATCAAGCGCTCCGGGACTCTACCCCTCGTGAAGGACGCTATGCAAACCCAAGCCGTTGCTGTTACTGTTGTAAACGAGGAACAGGTATGAAGGGCTGGGCCGAGTGGTTCCGCATCAGCTCCAGGCATCTGCACAGCTCACGTCACCAGGGAGTGGTGTGAGCGGCGGCCTGTGGACTGTGCCCTGGGGATATGCATACCTGCGGTGCCGTTCCCTCTTACGCTCATTCACTCTGCGCGGATTCCTTCCCTCCTTGTTGCCAGCAGCCGGCGTTCCACTCCACTGTGTGGAGCTCCCTCTAAACTGTGCGTCCACACTCCCAGGTCAGGGTTAGAGACACCAGGCTCCCTCTTCCCTCTAAAGCTCACTCCGAGTGCCCCAGGCTGTGCTGCTTCCCCACCTCGTTTTAGGGAAATTAACCATAACTTCCTCTCAAACAGCCAGGCTCAGTCGCCGGCACTCTTGCCTCTTGCCTCTGAGTCAGGAGGTTTTTGGGTTCCAGCTCCACGTCGGGGGGTTTTGAGCTCATAGTATGGGCTGACGTTCCAATGGAGTGCTGGTTGGAGGGGGGAGGGGGGAGGGAGGGGGGGAGAGAGAGAGAGTGCCGCAGTGTTGGCCTTCAAATGAGACATAAAACGCAGAAACAGGAGGAGGCCATTCAGCCCTTTGAGCCTGTTCCACCATTCTATAAGATCGTGGCTGATCCGTACCTCAACTCCTGTTACCTGCACTGCCCGGTATCCTTTGATCCTCTGACCTAACCAACATCTATCTGCCTCAGTGTTGAAGATGTGAATGAAAACCAAGCAACACCATTAGGTGTGAACATGTGGACATTAATGATCTCTCTTGTGCGCCGTTAGAAAAAGAGAATGGAGTTTCTCGCTCTCTCTCTCTCTCTCTCTCTCCTGGTCAACAGATAAAATCAGTCACTTGTTTGATGGCTGTTTGCGGGAATGTTGCGGTGCGCACAACGTTGCCTACTGTCTTTGCCCGCAAAACACACTGTGGCTGAGCTTCCCATATCATTCATATCATTCGGAGCACTTTGAGACATCCTCCCAGTGTTACAGGCGCTGTACAATAACAACAATAATACTTGCATTTGACATAGCGCCTTATCAGGTCTTGGGAGATTCTCAAAGTGCTTCACAAAATACGCTGTAGAGTGAATTGATTGCATATTTTGTGGCCGAAATGCGGCGGCCAATTGCGCACGGCAGCGTCTGTCCAACAGACAGTTGTGGATGGAATGAAGCCATTTCTTTGAGGGGAGAAGGGATCATTAGCCCCGAAAAATGATCCGCCGATCGAGTAGCGACCGGGTTGCCGCTCGTTTAACCAAACGGAGGCGTGTGGAGCCTAAGAAACGTAGGCGACGGTTTGTTAACGCTGCGTTCCTGGTGCCAGCGGAGTGGCCCCTTTAAGGAGGGCAGGTGAGTGCTGTACCTGGCGATGAGGAGGAGGGTGGGAGGGGAGGGGCAGCGCTCAGGTACAGCCGCTCAGGTCAGGCCACTTAATGTGTCACAGAGCGAAGGCGGTGTGAGCGGCTGTGGGCTCCTGTTACCTTGATCCGCAATGAGCTGAACCGAGGGCTGTTGACTCTGGGGGAGACACGTGGCTGTCGCAGTGAGGAGCTCCGTTCTCCCAGGAATCTCTTCAAACTCATCGTCCCACTCAACCCCCTGGCTCCATGCTCCCCTCCCCTCCTCCTCCCTCTGGCTCCTGCTCGGAGCCTTCCCTGCGTGGCTTCTGACACTTTGCCCCGTGTTCCTCTCTCTCTCTCTCTCTCTCTCTCTCTCGCTTGCTCCAACTTCCCCCTCCACCTGATCTAACCTGCCTCACCCGCCTTCCTGGCAAAAAAAAAACACAGGGAAGAGAGCAGGGCGTGGGGGGCTGATGTCACTAGAGGAACTGTAAGCTGCTTCCTTCACCTCACGTCTCGCTCGCTCGCTCTTCCCACCGCAGACTGTCTCAAACTCCAAACACACGAGAGCCCGGCAGCCGCTCACACCCACTCCCCAGCTGTGCGTCTCTGACGCAAGGCGCGTGGCTGGGAGTGGGGTGGGTGCGGGGGGGAAGTCAAGAGGAGATGAGGATATATCAGCTCAAGACGCACAGCGATGATATTTTGATAATCTATAACGTCAGAACTGTCCTAAAGCGATGCACAGAGTAGGCTGTAAAGTGCAGTGACTTTTATTTCTGGGCAAACGCGGCAGCCAACTTGCACACAGCGACGCCCCCACAAACAGCCTTGGAGCGAGCAAGAGATTTTATCTGGGCGGAGTGTTGGCCAGGATACCAGGAGAGAGAGAGAGAGAGAGAGAGAGAGAGAGAAAAGCGGTAGCTCAGTGGTTGGAGCGCTCGCCTACGGAAGCGAGAGACCTGGGTTGGATTCCCGGGCGGTGTGAGACCTTGGGCGAGTTTCCTCACTCCGCGCACACACACACACACACACACACCTCCGTTTACCCAACAGTAAGTAGGAACCCGGCTGTTAGTCGATTGGCGGATCCCTTTTCCGGGGCTAATAATCCCTTCAAATAAAAAATAATCCGCGGCCGGTGGCAGGACGCTGCCGCGCGCAGTTGGCTGCTGGGTTTCGGCCACTTTGCAGCACCTTCCGTGAAGCGCTTTGAGATGTGATGAGAGGCGCTGTATCAAATGCACGGATTATTATTATTATTAGTAAGCTCCTCTTTTCGAACAGCGACGCAGGTTCTTTAACATCCACCTGAACAGGGGCATAGATGGGGAATGAGGCTTTATGTCCTATTTCAGTGCAGTGAGTTACAGCTCTATGCGGAAAGAGACGGAGTTTCTCTCTCTCTCTCTCTCTCTCGCTCACTCTGTCCCGGTGTCCTGGTCAACAATCCCATAGATAAAATTGCTCGCTCCCTTCACGGTTGCTTGTGGGACACCCAAATTAGCCGCTGCATTCGCCCACAAACTACACAGTCACTGCACGTTACAGGGAATCCTTCGAAGCACTTTGAGACGTTTCCACGATGTGATTATTATAATTATTATCGATTGATGATGTGCGACGTAACTTTACATTTATACAGCAGCTTTCACACTGGGAGGGCATCCCCAGGCAATTCACAGGCCTGGCCCAGAGCCTGAGGTGCTGGGGGGGGGGGAGCCAGGGGGCAGCTGGGGTGGGGGTCAGTGGGGTGGGGCTGCTCACACCAGGCCCCGGACACCCCTGGCTTTCTGCACTCAAACCGAGACATGAAAAAACATTCAATGACGCAGTGGGGATTAACCCTTTCGCTCACTGGTCCTCGTTCACTCTGAGACAGTGGGATTAACCCTTTCACTCGCTGCTTCTCATTTCATATTTTTAATCCCATTCCCTCACTCGGCCGGTCTCCAAACACACCCTGAATCCCCGCCTCTCCCAATGTCAAACCCCCTCCCTTTAGAGCCTCCAAACTGATTCCCTCCGTCTCCGGCTGGCGGTAGGTTCAAGCCCCAAGTCAGCGACTTTGAGTTCCCGGTATAGGCTGACCCACGGAGGGACCTTCCTTTGGATGAGACGTTAAAACCGAGACCCCCGTCTGCTCAGGTGAATGTTAAAATCCCGCGGCACTGTTCAAAAAAATAGAGGGGAGTTTCTCTCTCCCGGAGTCCTGGCTGATAATACAATCCAATACTGAATTACATTTGTATATTGCCTGTCACATTGGGAGGACGTTACAGGGCACTGGACCGGCAGAGATTTGGACCCGAGCTGGGAGTTGGGATCAGGAGAGGGTGGAGATCAAGGGGAGGTAAAGAGGGTGGCCGAAGGCGCAGTCGAAGAGGAGGGTCTTAAGACGCGCCTTAAGGAGTCGAGGATGGAGTTTGAAAGGGTGGGAGCAGAGAAGCTGACGGCCCGACTGCCGATGGTGTGCTAAGCAGAGGGAGTGGACAGGTTGATATGGTGTCAGCAGATGTAGGGGGGAGATGAAGGGGCGATGGAGGGCCTTGAAGGCGGGGACGAGGATTTCGAACTCTATCCTCTGGGGGAATGTGGAGCCAGCGGAGCTGGGGCGGGGGTGATGGCGGCATGGAGCCTGTTGCGGGAGAGGACACGAGAATACCCTAAATAAAATCAGTCGCTGCCTTCCCGGCTGCGTGGGGGAATGTTGCTGTCGTGTGTGAATCGGTTGTCACGTTGGTCCAAGAACACGCAGTCGGTACTGCGTGTAGCAAAGAGAAACCCTGGACACAGTGAGCGAGACTTCACTCAACCAGCCAGCCCGCCTTCCCACCCCCTCCACCACACACACACACACACAAATATACACACACCCATAGATTATACACACACACACAGTTATAAAGTCACACCCTCACACTCACACACAGATATACACACATCAACACAGACACCTTCCCCCACACGCACATACAAACACACACAGATACACGCAACACACACACACACACTCCCCAGCAGTCACAGACGCCCTCACCCAACACACACACACCCACACACCTCCACATACGCACCCCCCCACGCCCCACATTCCCCCCCCCACCCATCCATACAGGTGCTGATGGGGATGGAGCGTTGGTGAGGGTCTCGGTTGGGATCTTACCGTGGGCCGGAAGGGAGCGGAGGTCACGGAGTCCATGCTCATCTGCTTCACCCCAGGAATGCTCTTCCTCCGCGATGGCCGGGACAGGTGATAGTCTGCAGCACAACCCAAAAGGAAAGGCACTTAGGTCACCAGCAAACTGGTCAGCCCGGCTCCGTCAGTCACTCCGTCAGTCACTCCGTCAGTTACACTCTTGTCTCGGAATCAGCCAGTTGTGGGTTTGTGCCCCCCCCTCCCCCCCCCCACCCACACACTTCGGGGACTCTGAGCTCACAGTCCAGGCTGATCCTCCAGCACAGCGCTGGGGGGGGGGGGAGAGGGGGGTGGGGGGAGGGGAAGAGAGAAAGAGGGATAGAGAGAGAGAGAGAGCTCGGTGGTTAGAGCACTCGCCTCACAAGCGAGAGACCTGGGTTCGATTCCCGGCAGGTCAGGGCGAATCCTTGGGCAAGTTTCCTTACTCCACACGCCTGATAATAATCCCTCAAGAAAAAAAAAACAATAATTGGTCACTTCAAAATCCACACCTGTTTATGGGTCAGACACTGCTGTGCGCAATTGGCTGCCGCGTTTCGTCCCCCCACCCCAAAAAAAATACAGTCAATTCACTTTACAGTATATCCTGCAAAGCGCTTTGAGATGACGTGATGAGGCGCTGCATCGAATGGAAGGATTATTATTATTAGAAAATCTTACTTCTGACTTTCTGACCCCGAAATGACCATCCACTCCCCAAACTGTGCCCTCGTCCTGCTGTCTCCCTGCAGCTCAGAGGGTTCTTCTGGGTTAATCTCCCAATCCTATTTCTCCCCTTACACCCAAACGCTGTACTTACATCTCACCAGTTCTGGTTCCACTGGTTCCCCATCACCGAACGGATCAACTTCGAGATCCTCACACTCGTGTTCAAATCCCTTCACTCTCTGGCCCCTCCCTACCTCCCCGACCTCCTCACTCCCCAATCCACCACCCGGCGCCTCCCCTGACCTGGCACCGGCTCCTGCTCATCCCTCGCACCCTCCGCCCCATTGTAGATCGCGCTTTCAGCCACTTGCACCCCAAATCTGTGGAACGCTCTCCCTCAATCCCTCCGCCTTGCCCCCCCGTTTCAAGTCCCACCTGAAAACCTTTCTCTTTGACCGTGCTTCAGCCACCTCCCACCACCCATCCCCCCCGACTCGGTATCAGGCTCCGCCACTGTTAAGCGCTCTGAGACACCACCCTGCATGGAGGGCGCTACATCAGAGTAAGTCTGTTGTTGTTGTTGCATCCATCAGCACAGGAAGCGGGCAGCGCCTCTTCAGCTCAGCGGACTGTGGCCAGTTGTGTGCCCCTAACCCTCACACCTCCATGGGAATCACTTCCCCTCTCCCCCCCACTCCCCACCGCCATCCAACTTGGCGTCCATCCCCACCACCATAAACAACAACAAGTGACATGTGTACAGAGCCTTTCACATCAGGAGGACATCCCAAGGTGCTGGACAGTCAGCAATCTGCACCCAAGCTGGTGGTTGAGATCAGGAGGGAGGGGAGGTCGGGGAGGACAGGGGTAGGAGGGTGACAGAAGGCGCAGTCAAAGAGGAGGGTTTTGAGATGCGTCTTGAAGGAGGCAAGAGACAGCGAGTCGGAGGGACTGTGAGATGGAGTTCCAGAGGGTGGGGTAAGGAGGCTGAAGGCTCGCCCGCTAATGGTGGGGCGGGCGAGGCGGGGGACCTGAAGCAGCCCAGAGCCCGCTGAGTGGAGGGAATGGACAGGTTGGTAGGGGGTTAGGAGGTAAAGCACTGTGAGGCGTTATTCTTCATGGAGGCCGCTGTGTAACTGCCAAGTTGTTGTTGGTGGTGGTTGTTGGTGAGGCCCTGGTGAGGTCACTGGGTGCTGGTGATGTCCCCGGCCTCTTGTGAGGTCACGAGCCCCTTCTGCTGTCACTCGCCAGAGGGCAGATTTCCTGTTGCACCCAGTTTGCAATCGGAGTCTTGTATTGTGAGCCTCCATTGCGGGGAGGTCAGTGCGTCGGTAAGTTTGTGTGGAACACGTGTCTCTCCTGAAGCCCCCCCTCTGTGTTTATCAGCATCTCCCCAAGAGTGAGCCACAGAACCAACGGCCGACAGATTCGCTGCTCGCGAGCTCTCCTGGTATTGTGCCACCCCCCCCCCCCACCACCACCCCCCACCCTCCTCCCACCCCCCCGAACCTTCAACGTGGGAAACAAATAAACACACACGCGGGTGTGGGCTGGAGTTGTGGCTCCAGGAGATCAGCTCAGGGTCAGACCCAACCTCCCTCCCTTCCCTGCTCCTCAACCCCAGCTGTTGGAAGTCCACAGACTTTGCACACCATCAAAGGGAGCATTGAAAGTGTTGCCTCGACATAGCAGCGGCTCACGGGAGAGATGACACAAGATTGTGTGTTTTTCCTTTGAAGAGTAAGGAAAGCATCACGCCATCCAAAGAGCCAGTGTCTCCAACTTGTGACACGCTTTCCCACCCCACCCCTCCCTCCACGGTTCAGAGCAGCGACCAAACCAAGAGTCAATTACTGACAGAAAAGACAAGGAGAGTGTGGAGCAGAGGAGGGAGACGGGTGGGGGGGGGGTGGGTGGGGGGGGGAAACCCAATGTGTGCATAATGCAGAGGAATATCTGAGGATAAAAAAGAGGAGAACGCGCGAGAGAGAGAGGAACGAAGATTCAGATTGACGCTGAGGGAATCTGTGCCCAGAACACAGCAGTGTTGGGGAGGAGATGGAGATGGGAGAGATGGCTCAGGATGTGGCTCTCTCCAACAAGCAGAACGCAGGGGCGTACAACGCCCACAATCCGCCCGGAGCGCGACGGATTCCAGCCGAGCCAGGCTTCTACACATTGCCCGGCCAAGGAGGTTGTTACCTACTGCAGAGCCCGCCCGGTATGGGGTTGTACAGGCTGCCGGCCATGCCCCTCCTTTACCAATCAAGTGCATACGGGGCACAGAATGACGTGGGCCTGTGCAGAATGCAAGGCCAGGGAGACGTATTCCGTTTCCAGAACCAGCCCACGATGTACAGGCTGCACAGCCCCCCAGCAGTGTACAGAATGCCCACCCTGCCCGGGCTTTACCAAAGACAGACTGTGCCGGGAATGTACGGGGCACAGAACGAGGGTTTGTACAGGTTCCCGAGCCAGCCACTGCTCTATCAGCCTCAGACTCACCCGCTCTACCACACTCAGAGCCAACCCATACTCTACCAAGCTCAAACCCAACCCATCTATCAAGTTCAAACCCAACCCATCTATCAAGCTCAAACCCAACCCATCTATCAAGCTCAAACCCAACCCATCTATCAAGCTCAAACCCAACCAATCTACCAAGCTCAGAGCCAGCCACTGCTCTATCAGCCTCAGACTCATCCTTTCTACCATGCTCAAACCCAACCCATTTATCAGGTCCAGAACCAACCTGTCTACCAGCCTCAGAACCAGCCGGCCTTGTACCGTATCCAGCCCCTGCCGGCCCTCTACCATAAAGACGTGCCTGTGGGGATGGCAGGCAGCTCGCCAGGCTACCAGAAGGACAGTCAATCGCAGTCGTACAGCCCAGAGAACCGGCCCGAGATCCGGCGGGAGCCCAGCCCGCCACCCACCTATCCCCGGGAGAGAGAGCGCGAGCCAGCAGTCTTCAGGACTCAGAGTCCCTCAGGACAGCACAAGCAGCCGGCCCAGCATATGGCGTACCAGCCAGGCCAGCCCAATGGCTACCGAGTGCCAGCCCAGCCCATGGTCTACCAGCCCGGAGGCCAGGGCGACATGTACAGTGTGGCTCCCTCGATGGGTATGTACAGCCCCCAGGGCTCCCAGGGAATGTATGAGACGCAGAGCACCCCCCAGCCTATTTACAGCATCCAAAACCAGCCATTATTTTACCGTCTTCAGAACCCGATGACCACATACGGGATACCTGCCCAGCTGGGAATGTACCAGCATTTGATGTACAGGATACCGAGCCCCGAGGTATCTACAGAGTAAGCGAATAGCAAGGAATCTGTCTGAAAAGGGAGGGGGAAACAAATACCCTCTCCTCCCCCTCCCCCCTACATTTCCTCTCCCTTCCCCCCACCCCCAGACAATGCTGTATTTATTGGAAAGAACAAGAGCCTGATTCGGCTCATCAACATTTTCAATAAATCTTTTTTTGAAACAGTTTCTACACGCCAAAACACGTTTACTCCCAAAAACATGGAGCGAGGGTGGTGGGGGTGGGGTGGGGAGTGGGGGTGGGAGGTAAATGGAGAACTTTCAATTCACCACCATCTCTGTTCTTTGTTGCACAGATCAATATAACCAGTCCATACTCCATCTCCATTCCCCTCCTCTACACCCCTCGATTGCCCTCTCCGCCACCCCTATATTCCCCGATCCTGCACCCTCTGTTCCCCTCTCGCACACCCCTCTATTTCCCTCTCCTACACCCCTCTACTCCCATCTAATTGTGGAGTCCTGTAGCTCAGTGGTTAGAGCACTCGCTCTGCAAGTGAGAGACCTGGGTTCGATTCCCGGCAGAGGGCCAAACCTTGGGCAAGTTTCCTTACCCCACACAGAGCCTAATAATAATTCCTCCAAAACCAAAACCAATAATAAATTGGTCATTTTCAATCTACGACTGTTTGTGGGACATTGCTGTGCGCAATTGGCTGCCACGTTCGCCCACAAATATACAGTCAATTCACTTTACAGTATATTCTGTGAAGCGCTTTGGGACATCTAGAAGACGTGAAAAGCGCTATATCAAATGCAAGGATTATTATTATTATTTCCTCCACCCCTATATTCCCCTCGCCTACACCCTATATTCCCCTCTCATACACCCTTCTATTCCCTTCTCCTACACCCCTCGATTATCAAAACCAGACTGAGAATTCTACCGTTGTATGCCACATACATATGGAATATGTCTGGAATGGAGTGTGGACTCCCAGCTCCACCTCCCCCAAATTCATCACCTCTGACCCCATCTCCACCCTAAAAGCCATGTAACCCACATGTTCATCACCTCCCGCCTCGATTACTTAAATCCTCTCCCTGGTCTCCCTGGTCCCATATTTTCAAGGCCCATCACAGCCATAACTCTGCCATCTGCATCCTCACCCGGACTACTCACCCGTCATCCCAATCCACTGAATAGACTTCAAGCTCCTCACCCTCACCTCCAAATCCCTCCATACCACAGCACCTCCCTACCTCTCTAACCTGGCATCCTGTAGCTTGGTGGTTAGTGAGTCGCCTCTCAAGCGAGAGGATCCTGGTTCAATTCCTGGGCAGGGAGACACTTTTAAGCAAGTTTCCTTACTCCACATGCCTCTGTTTACTTAGCATAAATAGGAACCCTGTTAGCCAGTTGGTGGATCGCTTTCTGGGGGTAATAATCCCTCAAAATTTGGTCACTCAATCATGTGGGACTGCTGCTGTGCACAATTGGCTCAAGCGTTTTGCTCACAAAATACACAGTTCATTCACTTTACAATATAATAATAAATAATAATAATAATAATCCTTGCATTTGATATAGCGCTTTTCACGTCGGGAGGACATCCCAAAGCGCTTCACAGAACACACTGTAAAGTGAATTGACTGTATATTTGTGGGCGAACGCGGCAGCCAATTGCGCACAGCAATGTCCCACAAACAGCCGTAGATTGAAAATGACCAATTTATTATTGTTTTTGGTTTTGGAGGGATTATTATTAGGCTCTGTGTGGAGTAAGGAAACTTGCCCGAGGTTTCGCCCTCTGCCTGGAATTGAACTCAGGTCTCTCACTTGCAAAGCGAGTGCTCTAACCACTGAGCTACAGGACTCCACATATATATCCTGTGAGAAGTTTCAATGGCTGATCAGGCGGTATATCAAATGAAAGGGTTATTATTTTACCACCCTCCACTGCCCAACCCCTCTGCCCAGCTAACATAGGCCCTGATGTGCAACCCCTCACCCCTCCGATTCCCTGTCTTTGAATCCTTCCTAAAGATTGTGCCTACGGTCACCTCCCCGCCCCCCCTCGCCTTTACACAGTGCCCAACCCTGCCATTCTATTCACACTATTCTGCACAACGACGACGATATAAACAACAACAACAAAATTACATTTATAGAGCACTTTTCACGTCCCAAAGCGCTGAACAGTCAGGCGTCGGGGCCCGAGCGTGGGGGAAGGGGTGGTTTATGGGTGGGGGAAGGCAGAGAGATGGGAGGGCGACCAAAAGGCACGATCGAAGAGAAGGGTCTTGAGACCGCCCTTGAAGGAGGCAAAGGAGCGAGGTGAAGGGACCGTGGGATGGAGTTCCAGATGTGGGGGCAGAGAGGCTGAAAGCCCGGCCACCGATGGTGGGGCGGGTCGGGTGGGAGACATGGAGCAGACCGGAGCCCGCTGTCTGGCAATGTTGCGGAGGTGGTGGTGGTAGGCAGTGCCGGTTGCGGTGCGGGTGTGGGGGAGAAAGGACAGTTCAGGGTCAAACAAGAATAAATATAAGTTACCTTCAGTTTAGAAATACTGCAAACATTTTTTTTGTAAACTGGTGTATGATCTCTGTGTCTTATTAAAAACCCAATCTACGTCGTCACAACCAGGGTCTCAGTCACTTCAGCTTCAAGCCATTACTATCCAGGTCCTCGTCAATCTGCATTGGGCCCTGCTCACAGCAAATCATTATTGACATCTTCTCTGCCTGTTAGTGATATTGTGCGGAATCACCACTGAGGAGGTTCCTACAGACCGAGCGGTGAAAGGTGACAGACCAAACCTGGCCTCAATAGACCCATTAGCCTGAACTCAATGATACAGAAATTTCCTGTACAAAAACAATCTGTGTCGGCCTGGCTCAGTGGTAGCATTCTCACCTCTGAGTCAGGTCAGACTGTGACTCTGTTCATCCATGTTGCGCTCAGGGGTTCAAGCCCCACATCGGGAATTGAAATCACAGTCTAACGTGGCATTCCAATGCAGTGTCCTGGCCGATAATCCAGTATCGGGAGGACCTCACAAGGCTCTGGATTTGGACCCAAGGAGAGGGTTGGGATCAGGGAAGGTGAGGGAAGGGAGAATAGGAGGGTGGCCGAAGGCGCAGTCTAAGAGGAGGGTCTTGATACATGCCCTGAAGGAGATAAGAGAGGGAGCGAGGTGAAGGGACTGTGGGATGGAATTCCAAAGGGTGAGGGCAGAGAGGCTGAAGGCCCGATCACTGGATGGTGGGGTGGCGGGGGGGGTATGTGGGGGAAATGGAGCAGACCACAACCTGCTGAGAAGAGGGAGCGACTAGGTTGATATGGAGTCAGCAGATCACAGAGGTAGGAAGGAGCAAGGCCGTGGCGGGTCTTAAGGGCGAGGATGAGGACTTTGATCTCTATCCTCTGGGGGATGGGGAGCCAGTGGAGCCAGGCGAAGGTGGGCGTGGTAGGGTCATGCAGCCTGGTGAAGGAGAGGACACGAGCTGCAGAGTTCTGGATGATCTGCATCTGGAGGGGAGACCGACAAGCAGGGAATTGGCGTAGTCGAGCCTAAATGTGATAAAATCACAGGATGCACGAGTAGCAAACATAGTACTCCACCAGTGAGTAGAACTTGCCAAGGGGGAAGCTGAAAAAGTGTTAATTGACTCACCGCTCACTGTGTCAAAACAGTGTGGGGCAGCAATAAACAAGGCAAACAGGATGCTGGGCTGTCTGACAAAATCAGTTGAGTTCAGATCCCCAGATGTCACACTCAGGATACAAAGTGTTTCTGGTCATTCAGAACTCTGGAGCCCGTGTCCTCTCCCGCACCAGGTTCCTTGACCCTATCACCCCCATCCTCCACCGGCTTCCCATCACACAGAGGATACAGTTCAAGATCCTGGTCCTCACCTTCTAAGCCCTCCGTGGTCTTGCTCCCCCCATAACTCTGGGACCTCCTAACCCCCACCCAGCTATCCACGCCCTCTGCTCAGCGGGCTCCAGCCCGCTTCATGTGCCCCACCATTAGTGAGCGGGCCTTCAACCTCCCTGCCCCCACCTTCTAAAACTGCATCCCACAGTCCCTCCGCCTCGCTTCCTCCCTTGCCTCCTTCAAGACCCATCTCAAAACCCTCCTCTTCGACCGTGCCTTCGGTCAGCCTCCCACCCCCTTCCCTCCTCGGCCTCCACCCCTCCTGATCCGAAGCACCATCTTGGGTGCAGATTCCCTGACTGTCCAGTGCCTTGGGATGTCCTCCTGATCTGAAAGGCGCTTTCAACAACGAATGCAATTTGTAGTTGGTGTTGTCAGGTCGCACCTTGAATACCGCGTAGAGTTCTGGTCACTGCGACAGAATGGGGTTGCTGAGGCTGCAGAGGGTTTCCCATCCTCATCCGTGAGGATGATGAACATTTTGATGAGACATGAAACTGAATTCCCGTCTGTGCCTGCTCAGGTGAACGTTAAGGATCCCACGATACTACTCGAAAAGAGAAGAGGGTTTTTCTCTCTCTCGGTATCCTGGCCAACACTTCTCCCATAAAAAAATGATTCTTCATTCCATGGCTGTTGATAGGACATTGCCACATGCAAAATGATCTGCACCTTTCAACCACAAAAAAAAAAGTCATGATCTTATAATCAAAGCCCTTGATACACCCGCCGTTCAATATGGGAGGATACCTCAAAAGAATTTCACAAGATTTATTATAAAGTGCAGTGATGTGTATGATGTTGTTGATTACGGCAACTCATTTGGACACAACAATGCGCCACAAACAGCCACAAAGTGAGTGACCTATTTTATTCGGGAGATTGTTGGCCAGGACACCAGGGGAAATCTTCTTCTCTTTTCCAATCTTTAACGTCCTTTGAAACAGGCGGACAGGACCTGAGTTTAATGACACGTCAGACGACCCAGCAATGCATTCAAGTGTCAGCCTCTGCTGTGAGGTCAGCGTCTCAATCTGAGAAGCTGCAACCTTCTGACTCAGAGGCCTGAGCATCACCCGGTGAGCCCGGCTGAATAAACAGTCACTGCAC